TTAAAAGAACCTCACTCTTCTGCAAACAAGTATGGTAAATATTTAAAAAGCCGCGGACTCTGGGCTAATGCTACAGTTTGAATTGTGGCCATTCCGTGGTCTGAAGCCATTGCTTCCTTCCTTGGAAAAAATTCCGAGAGTCTGATTCTTCTCTTGCTTGCTCCAGCCCCGTGTCGGTGCAACTCCATTGATGCAGTGGAGTTATTCCTGGATGACCCACGCAAGTGCCAGCTGACTCAGGACTTCGCTGTTTTGTTGTGCACCTTAACTGCTCCTGTCCCTTACAATAATCACCCTCACAAAGAAATCAGGTTTGGATTCCTTTAAGAGGAGGGCTCTCGCAGCTGGCAAGGCTTTTCTAGGGTTGCTTAATTAATCAATAATGAAGGAGGAGCAGGGCCCTCCCTGGGGAGTCACGACACTCCGGGAGGAGTTGATCGCTCAGGAACCCCGGGAGGTTCTAGTCCCGGTTATATGCGCTGCATTGTGGTGGTTTATAAGATGAGACCAAGTGGGTGTTTTTCTAGGTGAATTGGTCTGTGCAGGGCACTGCTGGAGAGCTAAGGCCCTGGAGATTAATTGGCTGAATCAGGGTTAGATAGCCCAGCGCTGAGAAGACTTTTATCCCCAGTCTTTAGAATGGAGTCTGTGGAGAAAGGGCCTGGACAGTCAGATTCTTCTTTAAAAGCGGGCAAGTTGGATTCCCTCCGTCATTGCTGTGCTGGCCCCCCTGTGGCGTGCAGCCTGGGACCGTCCTTGCTGAGACAGGCAAATGGAAATTTCCTTCCCATCCCCAAAGCCTTGGGAAAACATCATAAAAACATCCCCAGGATTCTTTGCCTTTAGTTAATAGAGAAACAATCCCCATAAACCAGGCTCCTTAATTACCCACTACAAAAATAAAACCTCACCTACTCTTGCTCAAGGTGGTGACATGCTGAGGCGCTCACGTTTCTGGGCTGGCGTTCAATGCCCTGGCTCAGGGGAGAGGCACTCTTCCTGGTAGCCATGCCAGCTGCACTGCTCAGAGCCTGCTCCTCTCTTAGGCGCAAGGACTGTGGCCTGGTAACGCCCCTGTCAGGACAGCTGCCTCTTTGCCTGCACATCAGAGTAGCACCAAGAGCCTCTGCCAGGGTGAAAGGCCCCAATATTTCTGCTTCCATCAGGGGCTGTATCTATTTCTCTGTCCCCACCTGCCTTTTCGGGTGACCTGCCCTCTGGGTTGCGACCTGGTGGAAGGGCTAGTGATGCTGATGCTAGAGTAGGAAGGATGATCTAGTGAATGGGGCACTGGCTGGGTCCGAGGAGACCTGGCTTTCATTCCTGGCTCAGACACGGACTTCGTAGCCACGTCACTTCATCTACCTTGAGCGTCAGTTCCCTGGCTGGAGAAGGAGGATAAAGGTTCCTGTCCTCACCGGGGTGTTTGAGAATAAAATCTGTTGGTGATTGTGAGGTGCTGTGGTGATGGGGGCTGGAGAAGTGCAGGGAGCCTGTTTCACTTGCAGCCTGAGGATTTGTGCTTGGCCTGCAGGAAGGAGTGGGAGTGGCCCTCATGCTGCCCTCCAGCCACCCTGAGAATTTTGTATTGATTTGCCGAGCGCTTTACAGAATTCCCCACTAGCTTGGTGGCCAGCTCCTAGTGAAGAGGTGCCTGCTTCCCATCCCCACAACCCACCCCAGTGGCACTAACTGGCCCGTTTCCATGGGCCCCACAGCTAGCCAAGGAGCTAACAGTCCATGGAGACCAAACTTCGGTCTCATCACTAGCTCCCTTCAGATCGGCATGGAGGCCTGTTGGTGGGGCAGTGCTGGGCTGGAGAAAGCTCTTGCTGCTACTGCATGGCTCTGGGGAGAGAGAGCTGCTCTCCAGCTTTTTACAGAACCCCCTCCCACATCCCTCCACAAGAAAGGATTAGAAACCATGCATGCTGGCTTCGTTTCACTCGCCACAAAATGCAGCTGCCTCTGTGGCGGGAAGCAACAGCCAGCGTAACGGCAGCAGAGCATGTTTATGTGCTTTACTATTTTTCTCTTGAAAAACGTCTCAGGAGGCAGAAGGGCTAATGGCTCAGTGAGTTAGAGCAACAGCTTTTCTGCTGCTCGGGAGCCTGCAGCCAGGCTGTTCCGCTCCCTTTGGCCGGGAGCAGGAGTGCAGTAATAAGTAACTTGTTACTTGGGGTCTCTCCGAACCAAGGAACATGGCAAACACACCATCTGGTTTTCACTTTGATCTTGCTCTCGTGCGGCGACCTGGAGCGGTGATTTATTCTCTCGGTTTCACTGGGGATGCTGGTGCTCCCTGCCCGCCTGCAGGAATTAAGCTGGCAGCAGCCAAATGAGAGCGGGACTGAGCGCTGCTTATACCAAAAGCTCTTCCCATCTGCACGACGCTTCGCCTGAAAGCCCAAGCAGCCGCTCACGGTGAAGGGAGTGTATTTGTCTGCCAGGGAGGAGAGGGAAGACAGGGGTGGGTCCGGGTCCCTCCCGGCCTTGGTGTGATCCCCAGCATCACAGGGACGACAGCGCTTCCACGGACTGAGAGTGCTCAAGCCCTCGTGCCTGGGAATGCGCTTGAGTCTAACCCCCCAGCAGTGTGGACTTCCCTTTGCTCCTGCTGGACAGGGGCTGAGAAAGAGTTTTAAATGATGGTCGCAAAAAAAGGGGAAGGTTGGTCAAAGAGGAGGATCGGGTTGGGGTAAGCACTGGGCTGGGGCTCAGGAGATCGGGATCCATTTCTGGCTCTGCCACAGACTGCCAGTGTGATCCTGGCCATGTCACTTACTCTCTTTTTGCCTCGCTGATCCCATCTGTCGAATGGGGCTAGCAGCACTCCCTCACTCTCAAACTCTGTCTGTCTTGTCTGCTTAGACTGTAAGCCTTCAAGATGGGGCCTGTCGCACTGTGTGGGCGGACAGCACCAACCGCATCGGGGCTCTGCTCTTGGTTGACCCCTCTAGGTACGACCAGAATTGGCCAAGCTTGCAAACCCCCACACGTGTGTCTGTCTGTCTAACACAATAACTTTTGAACGCTGCAGACAATCAGTTCCCAACTTCCAAGGAATGATCTCGACCCCAGAGGGCAGAGCACTGTTGATTTGGGGGGAATATTGGAAAACCGAAAGGGCGAATGGGGGACACAGGGAGCCCCTGCCATCTAACAGCTGTGGGGCAGATGCTCAGCCAGCAAGGGGAGCTAGAGGGAGAGGAGAGAGATGGAGGTCTCATTCCTTCCCCCCCCAGCCCACTGCCTCCCCACAGCCTGCCCCTATGGTGAGGGGGAGAGAGGGGGCACCAGCCATCTGCCCATCCCCTCCAATCCAGGGGAAGAAAGGAGAGGTACACAGAGACCCTGGTGCGGGGTGGAGAGGGATTCAAGTTATGCGGGGAAGGAGGGCATGGAGGGGCACATAGAGCCCATGGGATGGTGGGGAGAATGGGGTTCTCTGGTATGGGGGGAAGGGATAATGGGGGGCACAGTCCCTGGCATCGGGGGAGGAGAGAAAGGGGGACACACAGACTCTGGCATGAGGGAGAGGGAGGGTGTTGAGACAGTCCCTGAAATAGAGGAAGGCGGCACCTGGGAACTGATGGGGTGCGGAAGCAGGGGGCCCTTGGGGTGTGCAATGGGGTGAACCTATAGCAGCAACACTGTGTGCGGCCCCTCGTAACGAAGAATGATGCCTCTAACGTGCAAACTGCCCCCAAAGCTGATGTGCTGGGCCGTGCCCGAGGACTTCTCTCCCCCTCACTGTGGAGCAGCTCCCAAGCCAAGGTTTGTGCCTTGGGTGCTTTGGTCAGGCCTGTCCCCATCTTAACTTGGTGTCACCCAACCGCCCCTGGCCTCCAGCTTCGCATGGTCTCGTTTGGCTCAATTTCACGTAAGTCATGAAGGAGAGCCGTGAGCCGCCCGTGAGATGAGTCGGGGTCTCTGTCCACCCTTGCTAGTGACACAGCTCCTTTCTTTCCAGTTCAATCCGGGTTCAGCTGGGAACTACTTGCTCAAGGAGAACTTCCACCGGAGACCCGCCGGGGAGCTTTGTCCGAGGAAAGAACGCAAGGCTGGACTGTTTGTGGACGAGGAGGCTATTTTCCTTCTCCCCGGAGCCTGCTGCTGTCATAACTATTCTGCTTGCTTGCTCCTTTACAGACAAATAAGCCCCCCACACGCGCACACACGCACCTGTTCTTGGAAAGGGAGCGAGACCAGGTGTGCAAATGGCACATTACGCTCTGAGAACAAAACCCAGCAAAAGGCACTCAGAGCGTCAGGCCCATTGTCCCTCCAACTGGCACTGACGCGGATTGTACTCTGCACTTCACACGGGGGGAAGGAACCATAGTCCCCGACTTGGCAGAAATCCTTAACAAATCCTTGAACCATAGAACCATTAAGATAAATAGCTTTCATACTCCTGTGGGCTGGAGTACCTGCCTCGGATTTTATTGCATTTTTTTAACAATGTAAATCCATTCCAATATTTTTTTAGAGCCTCCCATACGCTGTGTCTCCGTACAGGTCAAGTAGGGAGCATTCCAATATTTCCAGGAGACAGATAAGCCATTCCTCTAGGTGCGGTGCGATCATTGCTCGCTGAGGTCCTGCTGGCATCAAGAGGGCTCTGCAGCTCCCAGAAGAACAGAGCACTCAGAAAGTAAGTACCTCAGTGTAACCAAGGCATTTAAAAAATCCACATAGAATTGCTGCCTTCCAAACCCTTTTCAGTGGTTTGGCACCAGAAGGTCCCCTGTTGGCACCTGATCATAACAGCCCGTATCTCTTATATGCTATGTGAAGTGCCTAGCCCACTTGAGGCACTTAAGGGGTAATTGGAAGAGTGCTCCCTGCTTTCGGCGCATGCTGTCCCCGAAGGAGTTAAGCAGTAGTGTTTGTATCTGGATTGTTCTGAATTGCATGTACTAATGTGAGGTGTCAGTTCCGTGGTGAGTCTACTCTGCTGTCTAGCAGTGCCCAGCCTGGCACTGGATGCCATCAAAGCTCCGCTCGCTTCATTTCAGCTCCCCTGATGTCTGACCTGGAGTTTGGTGGCATGTCCATAAAGGAGGTGGAAATGGACGGCAAGTACAAACCGCCGCAGCCTCACTGGTACGAGCTGTATGCCCAGCCCTGCGTGGCCGAGCTCCTGGGCTCAGCGTTGTTCATCTTCATCGGGTGCGCGTCAGTGATTGAGAACGTGGACGGCACGGGGAGGCTGCAGCCCGCCCTGGCGCATGGGTTGGCTCTTGGGCTCATCATCGCCATTTTGGGAAACATCAGGTGAGAGAATTTTGGGGACGTGGCTCCTTGGCACTGACTGCGCAGCGAGGGGCTCAGACAGTCACAGAGCAGGGGGCAGGCGTCCAAAACATAAAGGCTTCCTGACACCTCCCGGGAAAGCATGTGAATGTGGCTCTGCTGAGTGATAGCTAGCTAGAGTGAGCCTATTCTCTGTGTTTCTCCTGCCTCGTTTGTGTTTTGGATTAGTAGATATAATTGTAATAGTGATCATTAATAATCACACTCTGCACGTTACAAGGTGCCTTGCAGTTAAGGTTTATTATTGTTTGTATTACGGTAGTGTCTAGAGTTCCCATCTGAGATCAGAGCAGAGCTGCGTCGTGCTAGGGGCTGTACGTACACATAATGAGAGAGAGCTCTTGCTCTTACGATCCAAATAGACAATGGGACAGATTTTTAAAGATATTTAGGCGCTTAACTCACAATATCTTTAAAAATCTGGCCCTAGAGGGATAAAGAGTGGGAAGGGAAACTGAGGCGCAGAATGAGGACCAATTTGCCTGAGGTCAGTGACAGAGCCAGGTCTCATGATTCCCAGTCCAGTGCTTCTCTCCGAGTTTTGCAAAGGTAGTTATTATTGTAATTGCATTATTAAAATTGGGAACAAAGTCCCAGAGAGAGAAAGATACAAATCTCCTCTGAATGGTGACTCTAAAACAGGCACTGGGGAGATCCACACCTGTGCTCTCTCAGCCCCTCCAGATCAAATTTGCCCAGCCTACAAGTGAAAAAGTCCCCCCCTCCCCCATTAATTGCCAGTCCTGCAAACAGCCTGTGTTCTGATGATCAAGGCATGTCCTGTGTGGCTCACGTATGATCAGCAGGAGTCCTGGACCAATGGAGGGATATTATCTCTTTGTCTTATGAGGGTGGAATTAAAGTCTACACCTCAAGGTAAAGATTTTGCCACTGGGACTTAGCAATTCTGCTGACGATGCGTGAGCCAGAACAGAATCCGGCTCCTCTCCCACGGCTGCTTTGGCTCAACAAGGCTAAGAGGGAAGGATGGGGTAAAAATTTGGGTTTGTTAGTAAAGCCAGCAGCTGTGGCTCTGACGCCCTCAGGGAGCAGATCTGTTGAAGAAGGAGGTTCCATTTTTTATCATCAGTGTGAGCCACTGTCTTGCTGTGGGAAGGCATAGAATCCAGGTCTTCTGACTCCTGCTTCCTTGCTCTAACCTCTGGGTACGCCGCCTCATGGGCATCAAACCTTGACTTTTTATTGCTTACAATTTCATCTGCTCTCCCGGCTTATTCCTCGGTTACAGACATTGGGCCAGATCCTCAGCTGGTGTACATGAGTGTCACTCCATTGATTTTAATAGAGCAAAGCCCCTTGATCCCATGGGATTTCTCAGTTAGCTGGAGATGATTGTGATGTCACAGATATGAATGGTCAGTTCAGGAGAGGAATAAGCAGCTGGAGGTGGAGCTCTGAGCTGCCAAGATCTGCTCTCGGGTCACTCTTCTCCAGGAATCACAAACGGTGGAAGGGAGACACACGAAATCTCCACTGTCTCTCAAAAGGATGCTCCGCCAACTTTTCCGTAGCGCCTCGGCAGCTTTCGAATGGTGGATAAAGCAGGTATTTCTGTATGAAGCAGAGGGTGTTCGCAGTCTTCCCGCTCTGGAACGAGGAGGGCGTTGTTCAATTAAAGTTTTTCTGCAAAAGCATCATTCTGAACCGACTAACTTGGGGTTAGAAGTTTGTTTCCGAGACAGAACCAAGAGGCTGCAAAAACAAGTTTGTTTTGATCAATGCTCCATAAAAAATAGGCTGGAATCCACATTTTATGACTCTATTAACTGCCTGTTATTCAGAGTTATCTGTGGATTGGTTAATGTATACATAGGGTATACGTAGGCTAGCAGTGAAACCCAAGGACCCCATTAGCCTTTGCTGACAATGCGCCTAGTGTTAGAATGAAAAAACATAAATGATGCTCAGGTTTCATGACTAGCAATAGATTGGACACTCTGCACTCGGGTGGCTAAATAAACTATCCTTTAACCCACTAACAGACACACTAGGTGGGTCCCTGAGTATACACAGGTCTGACTGGAATGCTAAATGGTTGGACTAGGCTGGTCGCTGGTCTCCATTTCCTGAGTGTGCTACCTAAGCTGAAAGCATCTGTTACCTCTTGCAAAGACAGGGTTTAAGTCACTGACTGGACCATTGAAAGTAGAGACGGGAAAGCTCTGTTCGATCACCCCACCCATCCTCCTCAGCCAGGGCAAGGCTGTTCCCTCCAGCATTCCCCCTGGTGTGTCGTTTAGCCATAGGTTTGCCCCCCTTCCCACTGTTAGGCACTGCTGAATTTCATCCACTACTCTTAACTGTGCCCCTGTGACCACCTGAAACAACTCCTCGCCTTCCTGGGTGTTTATACCCTACACATACAGTTACAATGAGAGACTCTGATTCAGGGAGCTCTTACGCGTGTGCATAACTTTAAGTACATGCTTAAATCCCATTAAAGTTGATGGGACTTCACCGTGTACTTTGTGTTTAAGGGCTTCCCTGAGTCAGGGCCATATACTGCAAATATAGATCCTGCAACTCGCCACGTGGCCAGAACACTGCACAGGGACTCGGGGCCTCTGGGTTCTAGTCCCTCCTCTGCCACTGGCCTGCTGGGAGACCTTGGGTCAGTCATGTCGGAGAAAAACAGAGTTCTCGCTCTCAGGTTTGGGTGCAGCAAGGCAGATACTTTATTATCTCTAGCAGTTGCGTGGAGGGAGAGAGCTAAACAGGGCTCTCACAGGTAAACAATGACAGCAAGCATTTATACCTTTTGTTACACGCAATAATGAGCAGCAGCTGCATTTTGTTTATACATAGGTCATCCTGATATCTTCTTTCTCTCACCTCTATTTAGACTGTAGTCTACATTCCATACTTATCTAACATGAGGTCGCAACAGCTTCTCACACAGTTCTTTCCCATTCGCCTCACACAATCCTCACTTCTACAAATCTCACGTGATTAGGCTTACAGCTAGCCTGACTCTTGCTCACAGAAGAGACTGTTTGCATTGAAATCCCCTTCAAATCCCTGTCAGTTCTTGCTCTACTTCCACAGTCACTTCCCCCCCTCTGTGCCTCAGTTTCCCCATCTGTAGAATAGGGATAATGATCCGGACCTCCTTTGTAAAGTGCTTTGAGCTCTACTGATGTGATGCGTTAGAGAAGAGCCAGGTACTATTGATGTTATTAGGTCCAGGATTGGGCCCTATCATTTACATTTTCAGCCCCACACCAAGATTACAGCTGGAATTGGCCCATTGCCACAGTATAAAGCTTTGGCATTTACCTGAAAACTTAATTAATTCTCTGCTGGTTCGGTCAATTAAATCCTAGCAACTCCATTACCTCTTTAATGAAAGCTGAATCATCAGAAATAATCACAGTTCCTAAACCCTCTGACTCATTAGCTTTGAGAGCCTCATTAGAGGATTGGGGGCATGCAATGCCTTGAGCGCAGGGCTCTGTCCACACAGATCCTGTTGCAGGATCGGGGCCATAGAGCTCTGGGATTCTGGGCTCCGGCCTTGAGTATCAGTCAGACTTTGCCTACGTGTGACAGGCATGGAGTGTTACACTGTGCACCACCCCCCTGACTGGCCAGTGCTGAACGGCTTTTGCTCCCTTCCTGGTTTTCACAAGAGAGAAATTGTTCCAGAGAAGAGGCAAAGGATTCGGGGCGAGAAAACGAGGACCATTCGGATCAGCACTAGCTGATGTGTGAAGCCTCGTGAGCCCTTGTCATCCCCTGGTGGGGCTGCTGCCAGGAGAAAGAGGGAAAGAGGCTAGCCGGCAGGGCGTTCTCCTGAGGGAGGGAACCATCTGTAGGCCACATTCCTGCATGGGCTGGGGAGAGGGAGGACAAGGAGACCCAAAGAGTCTTTCCCAGCTCTGATTTCTCTGGGAATCAAAGGAAGAATATCCCTACCCTCTCCTCATTTAACCTCTTCCCTTGCATTCGTCCCGTTTGGGGCTTTGCGTTTTCTTTGCGATTTGACATCCAATACCCCAGCCAGGCAGAAGAAAGCTGCTTTTGGTCCCAGCTCTCCCAGCTGCCTGTGTGTGTTGGGCATCTCTAAACTCCCGTTGCCCTCCGGAAGGGTCCTGGCAGCCAGGCTCACGGCTAGCCTGGGCAGGCATAGCTTCGTTACGCCAGCAGTGCATTTGGCCTGGGCTCCACAAGGACGTCGCAAGGGAATTGGGGTTATCTTGTTGTAACCCCCGCAAGGAGAGAGTGGATCTTTGTCCCCCTCAAGTGGCTGGTCCACAGGAGAGATTACTGAGTCTGCTGCTTCCTACCATCGGCTTTAGCTCAAGTAGTGGAGGCGTGTGCTTTTGATGCTGGATGTTCCAAGTCCAGGCCCTGCTGATGGCCCAAGCAGGGTCAGCGGCCCAAGCAGGGTCAGTAGCACAGCTTGTCAGTGAACAAATCCCTCCTTGGTCAGAACAGTGAATATGGGGAAAGAAAACCTGCAGGCCAAGTTCTGCTCTCACATTGCATGCCAGGCCAGAACGAGGAGTCTTAGCGAAGGGCACTCGTAAAACTGTCAGCACCAAAGAGGAACCTTGAGGGAAACAGCAGGGGAAAGCAATGCTCGTTCCATGCCCTGGGTCCTCGGCCCCTCCCTAAAGGAATCCATGGGCTGCGTGTTGCCGTGGTCGCTCCCCTGGGGGGGTGATAGCACCATCAGCTGCTCAGAGAGGCCTGATGGTGCAAGGCCGGGAACTCTTTGCAAACATTTCCCTTTCCTGGCTCCTGCCCTACAAGTTAACGGTCCCTCCACGCTGTTTCAGTGTAAGTAACCCCCATCTTTAAGCTCCTGTAATCCTAGAATATCAGGGTTGGAGGGACCTCAGGAGGTATCTAGTCCAACCCCCAGCTCAAAGCAGGACCAATCCCCAGACAGATTTTTGCCCCAGATCCCTAAATGGCCCCCTCAAGGGTTGAACTCACAACCCTGGGTTTAGCAGGCCAATGCTCAAACCACTGAGCTATCCCTCCCCTCACGTGCAGTCAGTCTCGGGCTCCCTGTCACAGCCTCAGAAGCTTTCCCTGACTTCTCCCCCTTAATCATCTGTCCAGAATGAGCAGGGCAGGGCAGAATCCAACAGAGGCAGAGCAGGATTGTGAATCGCTGCCCAGGCCTCTCACCAGTGTGCAGCTGCCTAGGTAACGGGTCATTTTGAAAGAGCATAAGGTTTAACTGAGTCTGAATCCAGCTTAAAGGGGTCATTTCCAGCTGGGCTCAGAGTCTTCTCCTCAGGGGAACTCGGGGTAGAGGGTCCCACAGCTGAGATACTTAACATCTCTCTCCTGTTGATTCCAGCGGTGGCCATTTTAACCCAGCTGTCTCCTTGGCCGCGTGGCTGATTGGTGGGCTGAACATCATGCTGCTCATCCCTTACTGGATCTCCCAGCTGTGTGGGGGGCTGATCGGAGCTGGCCTGGCAAAGGTATGGAAATCAGGTGACTCTTCCTTGCTAAGAAGATTAAAGGGTTAATTTCCTGGGGTCTTGGGCTCCCCTCCATGCAGACATGTGAATCTCAGCAGTGAGTACGGGCCCCTCAAAGGCAGGTTATGTTTCTCAGTGCGGTTTGCGCTGTGTCAGAGAACAGTTTGTCATGCACCACTGGGCACATGCTGGAAGCCAGCACCCAGCAGCTGCAGGGGAGATTAAAGCATCAGATCCTAGTTCAACTTACAGAAGTAACCTTGTGCTTGGAATCTGAACACCAATGGTCATGCGCAGCACCTCCTTTGTGGGTATGGGGTTCATGTAGGGGTTGGAGCGCAGGACTGGGAGCCACGGTGCTGTTCCCAGCTCTTCGGCTGGCTCAGTGTATGACACTGGGCAAGTCACTGCCCCATCGCTCGGTGCTTCGGTTTGCCTGTCTTTAATGCGGACATACCTGTTATACAGGGTGCTGGGAATCTTCATTAACTAATGTTCAGTGGCAGTTGCTCAGTAAGTGCCGCAGGGTTATAGTTATTTTATTATATACAGAAGAATGCATATTCCTCCCGTCGGCTACAGCCATCTGCACTTACCCCACTATTTACCATGGTCTTTCCCATTTTATGTCGCCCCTCTCATCCTCCAAAGTACTTGATATATAAATAGCATCTACGTTGCAAACCATTAAGCAGATACTGGAGGTTAATTTCTTTACAGCTTTGCTAGGGTAGCTGGTGGCTAATCCACTTGTAATTATCTACAGGCTAAAAGCCTTTGCTAATGAGTTTACATTCGCTAGAGACTTAGGTTGACTTTCAGAAAGAAAGTGATCAGATTAGCTGCTCTCTGCCCTGATGTTATATCCACCTACACTGTCCTGACTGGGAACCAATAGCCATGGTGTGGAGATTGAAACTGTACCAATTCCAGGACTCTCTCTTGTAGGTTATGACAGCAAATGACAGATACATAAACGCCACTGGAGCGGCTTTCACTAGCATCACAGACGACGGGCAGATCCTCTCCGCCCTTGTGGGTGAGATTGTCATGACCATGTTCCTGGTCTTAGCCGTCTGCATGGGAGCCATCAATGAAAAAACCAGCAGCCCTTTGGCACCTTTCTGCATTGGTTTCACTGTCACCGCTGACATCCTAGCTGGGTGAGCCGGCACAGCCTTTTCTGTGTTCTGTGGCGCCGTGTACCTCTGGAGGACTGAAAGCTGCCAGACATTCCTGTCTGATGGCTGCCCAGCAGCCCTGGGGAGATGAGTTGGTGGGTCTGGATTTAGTTTCTATGGCAGACAATAAACAGTGATTAGTGTCTCCTGATGGCAGCCTGAGCAGAAAGTCCAAGGAGTGAATGGTCCGTGGTGGAAACTCCCCTGTTACATGGGAGTAGGTGCAGGGCTGGGGCACTCTGGGAAGCACAGGGGGGTGGAAGCTTGCCTGGTTGCACGCGTGCTGAATAGGTTCCATGGATATTCAGTGGACTTTAACTGATGCTCTCCCGGTGAGGTTCTCTGGCCTGTGCTATCCAGGAGGAGATGATCATAGTGGTCTCTTCTGGCCTTCATGTCTATGAGTCACTCCGGCTGTTTTCACCAGCCTGTTATTCATGTTGGGAGGAATATTGGCCACACATGGACAGCGCCCGATGACGGCGTCAGAAAAGACCAGTCTGCAGGCGTCTAACATGCTGGATGCTCGAAGCCAGATCAAGTTTTTCAATAAGCTGTTGTGGGCGGATACAGAAGAAAGTCCCCCCCGGGGCAATGCTTGTAATAGGAAGCCCTAAGGACACAGAAGCCGGTTCATTTTGAGTCATTTTTTACTGTATGTTCTGGCTGTTTTTAGGAGAAACTGCCCAGCTTGGCCTCAGCACGCCCCAGTTTTTCAAGCAAGCAGGCTGTTTACTTTCTTGTGTGCCGGGAATCAGATAACAAGAGCCCGCAATTATGAATGCTAATAGGTTATTTATTTAAGGGAGAGCCCCCTCTAGTGGGATTTGAAGCTCTTATTTAAACACTGCACAGACGTCAGGTGCAAATGTTTATCCGTTGCTGGAAGATATGTATCAGTGCCCCTTCCGCAGCACATTGTGACCTACACACAGTGAAGAGCGTAAAACCCAAGCTGCTAACAAACCCAACATTTAAATTTAAAACGGACACTTTCATTTCCATCACATGAAGCTTTTTACAGATATAGGTGCTCCCTAGCTAACAGCTAATGCTGGAGCCCATACAGGTATGTTCCTAGGTCTGTCAATGTTATTCAGATGAGTTTTGCAATGGTCATTGTATTTTATATAGTAGGTCTGATTACAATAGTCAGCCATCAGTGGGGCATTATTACAGAGATTGTTACTTTCTGAAAACAATTTGTCCTTGGAGTTCCGTGGCAGAACATTGTATATTCAGCAGGATGAATTGTGAGACTGTTCATTTGTTTTCTCTTTCAGAGGCGCTATATCTGGGGCTTGCATGAACCCTGCCAGAGCTTTTGGGCCAGCGCTGGTAGCAAACTACTGGGACTATCACTGGGTTTACTGGGTAGGGCCCATGGTAGCCAGCCTGCTAGCTGGTGCATTGATAAGGTAGGTGAGGGGACACTGTCTATAGTGGACATGAAATGTGTAAGAAGAGGGAAAGCTGTGTGTACCTTGTCATGCAGAGGTCCTGGGTCTAATCTCCACATTGCCATGTACTGCTTGTGTCCGTCTGTAAAATAGGCCGTGAATATTCACTAAGTGGCGAGTCCAGTCCCTCCTCTCAGGCCCAGATGGGAGGCTTTAGCACAGAGGGGCTCCCAGGGAGTCGGAGCAGGAGCAGTCTTCAGTCACTGGCTGTGGTGTGATCGGAACTGCTCCTTAGGCTACCCTGGCCAGTTGGTTGCTTCCCCAACCCCCAGCTATGGGGGAATGGCTGGCAAATCCACATGGTAGTGGATCCAGAGGCCCTTCCCAATGCCCTCTGTCTCCCAACATCCTGCCCCTCGGAGGTGAGTTCTGTAGCACGCGCTGTGTGAGCTCCTGCAACCCTCCCCATTCTGATGCTGCACTAGAAATAAGGATTCCAGAGTCGTTGGTGAGAGTGTTTTTCTGGGCCTTGACTGGCGGAAATCCCTCCCCTGGGTGATGCAAAGTTGGCCGGAGGGAATCTGCTCCCACGAATCAGAAGGCCAGAGGCACAGGAACAAAGTTCCCTGATCAAAAAGAATCAGCAGTAAAAGCTTCAGCCAGATCCTAACCATCTGCGGAAGCGCTGCGGACTCTTCCAGCCCCCGTGCTTTGGAGTTTCCCCCTCTCTGAATGATGGCAGTCCCTTAGCTGTTTAATGTGCATGCCCAGCTGGAAAACAGGGGACGTCTAGAATCCTCTGCATGTTCCTAGAGTCCCTGTGAAGGAAGAAAAATTGTAGAGGTATAAATCATCCCTGAATACAGCATGTTATCCAGCTCTTTCTGGAGCCATCACTCTTCCCTTACCAACCTCCCACCCATTTGTCTATCTTTCCCTCCCGCGGGGTAGTGCCGACTTGGAGTGGGACGTGGGGTTGTGTTTTCTTTGCCTGTACACAGCCCTGCACTCCTGTAGTGGGGATAGTACATACGCTGCCCATGCTCATCTCTCTCTGTTTTGCTCCTGAAGGCTCCTGATTGGCGATAGGAAAATCCGCCTGTTCCTGAAGTGAGCCCTGGATTGGGACTGCCTGCGGGACACAATCACTTATGGATAGGAAATCGGCTCTACTTGGCCCTCGGGAGAAACTCTGCTTCACCACACACCAGCGCCTCCGTTCTCACTGTCTGGCCACGTGGAACTGCTCCGGGATCCCAGCTTTCCAGTCTGGTTTCCCCAGAGAGCAGGTGTTGGCAGGATGATCCCACTTGAAGCTACAGATTCTGTAAAAAACAAACAAACCCAAACCAAACAAATCGCTTGTATTGAGATCAAAGCAAAGGCCTGTCTGGCTGGGTAGGATCACTGGCCTTGCCTCTCTGTGCTGGGGCAGTGCCTCTTCCTACTGCACAAACGGCAGCCAGAAGCCAGGGCAGTTGTCCTGGGGATTAATATCCCGTATGGAGATAAGCTAAAATGGGCAGGAGGGTCTGGCGGGAAGTGATGCAGCAGGGCTGGCCTGGTTTGCACAGCGCTCCCGCTGGCATGACGGAGTGCGGCTGCAGCACCTCGGTGATGCCAATGTGCTTGCTGCTCCAATCGCTGGGGAAATTTGCTTCCTTGACTTTTTCTGTTCTGGAGATGGGAGCGCCCATCCCTGTGTTCCCCCTGGCCCCACCGCGTTCCCGGCGCAGCACACGTGGTGCTTCTGGAGAAAGCACTTTATCATTGTGTCCCATGGCCCCATCGCCTGGGCTGGATCTCCAGCAATCTCTTCTGCTCCCCAGGGCCGGCTGACGTCTCCGCCGGTTGCCAGACGCTGTAGTGAGGAGCCTCCTAATAAGGTGAATAAAAGCCGAGTTGAACAGAAATGCCTGTGGAATGTGCGTCATAAGTCACTGCGCCGACACTAATTGATTTCTGAATTCTTAAAAAACCAAAACAAAATGGAAACAACCTCCCAACAGTTGACCAGAATGTAAATTCACAGAAACATGGCAAGGCGCTTCCCAGCACTGGGCGGCTGAGCAAGGTCACTGCCCTGCTGGGAGCCTGTCCCCTGCGCCCCACCCTGCTGGGAGCCTGTCCCCTGTGCCCCACCCCGCTGGGAGCCTGCCCTCTGTGCCCTGCCCCGCTGGGAGCCTGCCC